ATCATCAACAAACAACATCAAACAAACAACAAACATCATCAACAAACAACATCAACAAACAACATCATCATCAAACAAAAAATATTTTGTTATGAATGTCTGAGAAAAGTAAGAATCAGCTGATATATCCTTATCACACTTTTATATATATTATACCTGTAGACAGTGTGTTTACCTGTGTGCCGTTTACCTGTGTGCCGTTTACCTGTGTGCCGTTTACCTGTGTGCCGTTTACTTGTGCCGTTTACCTGTGTGCTGTTTACCTGTGTGCCGTTTACCTGTGTGCCGTTTACCTGTGTGCTGTTTACCTGTGTGCCGTTTACCTGTGTGCCGTTTACCTGTGTGCCGTTTACCTGTGTGCTGTTTACCTGTGTGCCGTTTACCTGTGTGCCGTTTACCTGTGTGCTGTTTACCTGTGTTCTTGGGGCATCCTGCAGTTTGAGGAACTTCTCCATCAGGATCTGGTTGATCTTCACCAGAATCCCGTTCATCCCGTCTCTGTTGACCAGCGTCAGGTCTCTGTAACACTGCCCCACACACACACACACACACACACACACACACACACACACACACACACACACACACACAAAAAAAAAAAAAAACAACAAAAGAGAGTGATGTCACAGTGATGTCACAGCGGGGTCACACATTAATGCTGAGGCGGTGGTGTCTCACCCTCTGGGCCTGGGTGGGCTCTGTGAGGACCAGAGTGAACAGACCCAGACAAACCTCCTCATGCTGCTGCTGGCCTTTACACACCTGCAGGACAGGTAAACAGGAAGTTAGACTGCAGGAAGTTTTCTGATTGGCTGTCAGGTGTCATTATTATTATTATTATTATTCTTCACACACATCCTACAGGAAGCTGGAGTTAGTGTGCAGTATAATCTACCTGTAATGTTATTACAGTAGTTGTGCTATTAGCAGTAGTGCATGGTGTGTTTATCTTTGTTGTAGTATTTGTCTCACAGCTTCAGCAGCACTAATATTAATATCAGTATTTATATTTATATTAGTATTAATACTAATATCAGTATTTACATTTATATTAGTATTAATATTAATATCAGTATTTATATTAGTATTAATATTAATATCAGTATTTATATTAGTATTAATATTAATACTGATATCAGTATTTATATTTATATTAGTATTAGTATTAGTAGTACTTCTAGTGTCTTACGTTGGCGGTGAGGGCGTCATTGGCCTCTCTCTCTGACAGACCGTTGGTCAACGATTGGACGATTCCCACACAGCGCTCCAATCTCTGCACACAGACAGACAGACAGACAGACAGACAGACAGACAGGTGAGTTACCTGCAGACAGACAGACAACCCAGCACTACAGTGTACTGTACATGCAACAGTTCTGAGATCAGCTGATAAACGCATTGTATTGTTTGTTCTCACTGTGTGAATAAAGTTGATTTCAATCTGTTGGACTTTCTGACAGATGAAACACACGCACGGCGCATGCGCACCTGTCACTTTTCTGCTCTCATCCGTATGTTTACGTCGGATTAGCATGCTAGGCTAACTGTCCACTAGCTGTGTGTGTCCGCTTTGTGGAGCACAAACGCCGCGAACACGTCAGACAGACCCGTGCGGCTAGGCTAGGCTAGGCTAACGGTGCTAGCACTGACACTGTACGGCTAGGCTAGGCTAGCGATGCTAACTAGCTGCTAGTTCTCAGGAACTGTCTCTTTGTACCCGCTGGTTGTTAAACCGCGCTAACCGGCTCTGTCCCGGGTTATACGCGCTCTCTCCCGGGTCAGCCTACCTCCTCCAGCTCGTCTTTGGCGTCCAGCTGGGTGGACACCAGCAGCCGGCCCTGCGGCTTCGCTTTAGCCGGTGCGGGTTCCATCTGCGGCCGCCGCGCCTCGCCGGGCCCCGCGGAGCTGCGAAGGGCTGGCACTGCGGGCTCAGGGGCGGTTTATAAGTGCTTCTGTCGGTGTACCGGACGGTTCGGAGCTCCGGGCAGAGCGGGGGCCTCGGTGCTGCTCGCTGCGGGCGGTAACGGGGATTTATCGGGAGTTTCGGGGCAGCGCTTGCTCTCCGTCCGACCGCAGCAACATAACGGACATCCGCGGAGGGTAGGGGGCGGGGTCTACAGCGGCGCTCCACCAATCACCGCACGGCCTGCCTCTGAGCGATGTACGCATGGACCAATGAGAGGAGAGGAAAGCTGCAGCCAATCACCGGCCTACTCTGCTGAAGACCATCTGCGTGGAAACCAATACGTTGTTTATAAATAACAATATTGATCTATTTCTGATAAAGATATCGATTATTCAGCCTGATTGGTGTTGTTTTTTCCACAATAATGAAATACAGCCCTTAACATTTATATAATCAATACAACATAAGACCTGCATTCACTCATAAAGGGACAAAACAAACAACACATCAACACAACAAGAATGCTCCTCCTGTTTTAACAAATAGAAATCTATCCATAATCGGACTGGATATATGAACTGCAATAAAAGCCAAATAAAGAAAATAAAGTGGGAAAGTGCAGCGTGGACAGAGATCACTGTTCCTGTGATGAATGCTCTCATATACACACTGTTTATCCTTTAATATGGAAGTCATTCTTTCTAATGTAAGGCTGATAATATCTGTCTGATCCACCTGATTGTTCATTTCTAATTCATTATCTTTTCTGCAGAAAGAACCAACATGTGAATCTGACATCATGAATCAGGTCCAATCATTATTAAACTATTTATTTGAATTAAAGTGACCTCCACCACGTCCTGCTGTTCAGGTTCAGGGTCTGTTGAGGACTATACCAGACCCTCTCAATCACCTATCAATCACAACGCTGCCACCACTTCCTGTTGAGTGAGTTCAGACACGTTTATGTTTTATTTTATGGCTCCTTACATTTACACATTTTATGGAAAATATAAATTGATTCACTTCCTGTGAACAATGTTTGCAGTTAATTTCTAGTCAGCAACATAAATGGAATGTTTCCAATAATCAATCAATAAATATGAATACTTTATTTAAAGGGGAACTTGGCAACTCTAGCCATTTCTTCGCTGGTTTTCACTTTTGTCGTCGCATGTTTTCTCAATCAGTTCCCCCGACAGCTCAGACGTATATTTCACAACACTGTCGTAAAAAAACTCACCTGCGGCCCCTCCTCCCCCTTTCTACCGCTGCTGATGTGCATTTGTTGCCGGGCAACTTTGTCGTGTGGAGCAATGTCTACCAAGGTGGGTAATACATTCATCGTCGCTTGTTCTTATAGCCGGTGTGGCTAACCGGTATTGAGGGGGGCGTGGCTAACCGGTATTGAGGGGGGCGTGTGCGTTTATGTAGAATTGCCGTAAAGCAGTTTGAGTTTCTCGCTCATTCTCGCTTCTCACGATACTTCCTATCTCCAACTTAACGGGACGGTAGTCCCAAAGTTTCAAAGTTGGTTTTCCGCCTGGGGACGCGAGGGAGAGCGGGGAAAGTCACCATTAACACCGGAACAGGCCATTTAACCATCCAATGATTTCTAAACAGGTTTATTAAGTTGAAATAGTTGCCAAGTTCCCCTTTAAATGGAGCAGCTGATTATTGTATTGTAAAAAAAGTGATCAAATAATAAAAGCATAAATAAAACACACAGTTCATTTTTATTTTCACACCATTTCAAATGATTTATTTTTACAGTGAAACATTCATGTGTCTGTGAAAGATCCTCCGTACGACTTCCTGAAGGTCAAAGTTCAAATCCTGAAACACTTTTTATTGAAAAACGTGTTTACAGCCTGTGGCCTTCATCAGAGTCTTCATCAAACACATTAATAACATTTAGGTACACAGGACACACCCACAGATATCACCCAATCACGTCCCAGACAGACAGAGCGTCCAATTAGGACAGAGGGCTAATGTTAGCTCACGTTAGCTCTCTCAGCAGTGCTAGATGAGCTAGCTAACATTAGCTAATGTTGTTATGATGTATTCAACATGTCTTGTTTATTTTAAATGTTAATATTGTGTTTGATGAAGACTCTGATGAAGGCCACAGGCTGTAAACGCATTGGTTGATCAATAAAGTTATTGGAAGGAGGTGAAGTTGTACCAGAAAGCCCAGAAGAGCTAAACGTCCAATCAGAGAAGAGTAAGAGGAGGAGGAGGGTTTAATACTAGCTTGTTTCTGACATCTGCAGTCAGTGCTGATGTGACCTTTAGACCTGAAACATCCAAAACTGTCAATGATGAGCAGTCAGACCTCTTCCTCGTCCTCCTCCGCTTTCTCCTCTTCCTCTCTTCCTCTGTCAGTTGTAGTCGTTCTCTCCCAGCAGCCAGTACGTCCTCATCTGTCCTTTTCCCTTCATCTCAATCTCTCCTCTGAGCTTCAGCTGGAAGCAGCCGAACTCCTGCAGAACCTGACGGGTCGCCTCCGAGACATGGATCTTCAGAGCTGCACACACACACACAACCACAACGTATAATATACATAGAGATATATAGACACTGTACACTGCAGCACCTACAGTTCTGGTCAAAAGTTCTGAGTTCTGACTGAAACTGAACTTTTAAATATTTGATGTTGTTTCTAAGTTCAGTCTCGCTCTGTGTCAGAGGAACTACGATGTAAAACTGTCAGTTACTCCAGAATCCAACCTGCAGTCACCCTGCAATAAGTGCAATCACTGCGCTCTCCTCGCTGTCTCTGAGCTTCAGCTGCAGTCACTGCGCTCTACCTCGCTGTCTCTGAGCTTCGGCTGCAGTCACTGCGCTCTCCCTCGCTGTCTCTGAGCTTCGGCTGCAGTCACTGCGCTCTACCTCGCTGTCTCTGAGCTTCGGCTGCAGTCACTGCGCTCTACCTCGCTGTCTCTGAGCGCGCAGTCACTGCGCTCTCTCGCTGTCTCTGAGCTTCGGCTGCATCACTGCGCTCTACCTCGCTGTCTCTGAGCTTCGGCTGCAGTCACTGCGCTCTCCCTCGCTGTCTCTGAGCTGGCGCTCCCTCGCTGTCTCTGAGCTCTGAGTCACTGCGCTCTCCTCGCTGTCTCTGAGCTTCAGCTGCAGTCACTGCGCTCTACCTCGCTGTCTCTGAGCTTCGGCTGCAGTCACTGCGCTCTCCTCGCTGTCTCTGAGCCTGCAGTCTGCGCTCCCCTGTCTCTGAGCTTCAGCTGCAGTCACTGCGCTCCCTCCCTTTCTCTGGCTTCGGCTGCAGTCACTGCGCTCTCCCTCGCTGTCTCTGAGCTTCGGCTGCAGTCACTGCGCTCTCCCTCGCTGTCTCTGAGCTTCAGCTGCAGTCACTGCGCTCTACCTCGCTGTCTCTGAGCCCCCCCCGTTAGCGGTATCTTCACCTCCTCGCTGTCTCTGAGCTTCGGCTGCAGTCACTGCGCTCTCCTCGCTGTCTCTGAGCTTCGGCTGCAATCACTGCGCTCTCCTCGCTGTCTCTGAGCGCTGCAGTCACTGCGCTCTCCTTTTTTTCTCTCGCTGTCTCTGAGCTTCGGCTGCAGTCACTGCGCTCTACCTCGCTGTCTCTGAGCTTCGGCTGCAGTCACTGCGCTCTCCCTCGCTGTCTCTGAGCTTCGGCTGCAGTTACTACAGCTTAAGTGTCTGTAAATCCTGAATTTTAGACAGTCTCAGGACAACGTGGGAATTAAAACAAAGAGGATCTTCATGTTCTCCACTGGGAACCCTGACTGACTCCATCTGGGGATTATTAGCTGAGCCATTGGAGCTGATAGTGATAATAGTTAGCATGTTACTGTGCTAGTGCTGGCTAGCTACACAGGACATTACAATCAATGTGTCACAGGTTAAAGCTCACAAACCTAAACTCTTAATGATCAGTGTGTGTGTGTGTGTGTGTGTGTGTTACCCTCTCCGTTGGACTCCATGCGTGATGCTGTGTTCACTGTGTCTCCAAACAGGCAGTACCTGGGCATCTTCAGCCCAACCACACCTGCACACACCGGACCTACACACACACACATTATATATTATAGCCCTTTATTAATAAACACACACACTCACACACTCACACACACACACACACACACACACACACACACACACACACACACACACACACACTGACCACTGTGTATGCCAATGCGGAGGCGGAGCTGCTGGTTGGGTCGGTGTCGGATCCTGAAGCTCTTAACGGCGTCCAGCAGGGCGAGAGACATCCGGGCCACCTCCCGACCATGGAGCCTCCCGTTCTTCACTGGCAGCCCGGACACCACCATGTAGGCGTCCCCGATGGTCTCCACCTGCAGCATATGATACCGATCAGATAAATACATCCCAATAATCACCACTGCCATTGCTCCACATCTCTGATTAAACCTTCTCATTCCAAACTAGGCAGTGCTGATCAGATATGGATCCAGATTCTGTTGTTGACTATTTCTCTCCTCTCTCCTTTATCTGGAATACCAGATCCTGTGTCAGCAGGAGAGCAGCCAATGAGAGCAGAGCAACTCGTTTTACGTGACCTCCGCTGGGTGCTAAACACCAACATGGAGATGACCAGAATGCACAGGAAGTGGTGAGGAACGTTTACCTTGTAAACATCAAAGTTATCGATGATGGCATCGAAGCAGGTGTACAGGTCGTTCAACAGCGTCACCACCTGGAAGTAAAATAACTTTATTTCACTGCAGGAACACGCTCCACCACCAGAGGGCAGCACTGACTGGATTATTTATCACTGAGCCTCGTTAGCCGCTACGCTAACAGACAATAAGTAATATTACATTATACATCATACAGTACATCAGTCAGTATGAGTTATACTGGGTTTTACTGGGTTCTACTAGGTTCCACTGACCTGTAGTGGCGTGCTCTCTGCAGACAGCGCAGTGAAGCCGATGATGTCACTGAAGTAAATGGTGACGGAGTCGAACGCTTCGGCCTGAACCGTCTCTCCTCGTTTCAACTGCTCTGCTACTGAACTGAAATACAGTGAGTGGGGCATGTATGTAGTAGTACTGCAGTACATTTACTGTGGTAGTATTATGTATTAGTATTATATTAGTATTATATTAGAAGTATTATAGTAGTATTATATTAGTATTATAGTAGTATTATATAGTATTATATGAGTAGTAGTAAAAGTGGAACAGGAGCCTTCAGTTACCAAGCTCCTCTCCTGTGGAACCAGCTTCTAGTTGTGGTTCTGGAGGCAGACACCCTCACCACATTCAAGAGTAGGCTTAAGACATTCCTCTTTGATAAAGCTTATAGTTAGGGCTGGATCAGGTGAGTCCTGAACCATCCCTTAGTTATGGTAAATGGTAAATGAACCTGTACTTGCATAGGGCCTTTCTAGTCTTCCAACCAAACATTCACCCTTTCACACAAATTCACTTTCAAACAGAAACTAACATTCACACACACTCACACACCGACGCATCGGGAGCAATTTGGGGTTTGGTATCTTGCTCAAGGGTACTTTGACATGTGGCACCAGGAGCCGGGGATCGAACCCACAACCTTCCGATTAAAGAACGACGCTCTCTGCCTCTGAGCCACAGCCACCCCGGTGCTGCTATACGCCTAGACTATCGGGCGATTTCCCATGGTGCACTGAGCTCCTCCCTTCCTCTCTCTTTCTGCACTCATTCATGTTCCATTAATGCATGTTACTAACTTCACTTCTTCCCCGGAGTTCTTGTGCTTTCTCGTCTCGCAGGTTCTTATCGATCCTGGTGGAGCCTCCTGCCATGGTCCTGCTAGACTGCCATTGCCAATACTGTTGTTGCTGTGCACCTGTCTGTCTGTCTGTCTGTCTGTGGTACTGTTGGGTCTCTGTAATTAATATTTTAAAGAGTTCGGTCTAGACCTGCTCTATTTGAAAAGTGTCCTGAGATAACTTCTGTTATGAATTGGCGCTATGCAAATAAAATTGAATTGAATTGAATTATTCAATAAGATATTAGTATTATAGTAGTATAATATTAGTATTATATTAGTAGTATTGTTATAGTAGTATTATAGTAGTATTATATTAGTAGCAGTATTATATTAGTATTATAGTAGTATTATATTAGTATTATAGTAGTATTATAGTAGTATAATAGTAGTATTATAGTAGTATAATATTAGTATTATATTAGTATTATAGTAGTATAATAGTAGTATTATATTAGTAGTAGTATTATATTAGTATTATATTTACTGTGGTAGTATCTGGTACAGCAGTGCCTCAGCCTTGCGTTTCTCTTCGTGGTACGCCTGTGTTCTCTCCTCCACCAGCTCCTCCAGGTTGTTGGCATATTGCTCCATACGAGACAGCAGGTTGTCCAGGATGTTAGACCCATAACCCCTACACAGACAGACAGGAGGACAGACAGACAGGAGGACAGACAGACAAGAGGACAACCCCCGGTTGACATTTTTATATTTATCAATAAATAATGCAGAACTACAGACATTTCCAGAAGCTTTAGCTAACGTTAGCATGTTAACACACTAAAGTATGAACATGGTAAACATCAGCATGTTAGCCTGGCACAAGCAGCAACCTCTGTGGCTGCAGATTCAGTTACTCTAATGTCCACTAGAGGCTCCAGCAGTAAGTCTCCATAAGTCAGCGTATTAAACTGCACAAATAAACATGTTTACTTCCCTTTGGACTCTAATGTTCCTGTTGATGACAACGACCCCCCCTTTAAATGAAATTTCGGTTATAATTTGGTACCGGTGCTGTTTCCTCAGCAGGATCTTGATGGTATTGAAGTCTGGTCTGTCGCTGAGCTCTTCGGTCCAGCAGCGCTGCATCAGGACTCCGAGCTCCTCGCTGTGACTGTGGAAGCAGAGGGAGGGACGGAGTGGGGGGACACCGCCCTGAACCACCGCCTGCACAATCTCTGGGGGGGCACAGGGACATCAGTCTGTAAAACTACCAGATTATTTATTCTATAGTAGTACTGTTACTGGTAATAGAGAATTCTGGTAAAAGAGTACTTTTTGATATCCTGCCCCCCTGTTCTGATCACATGACCTCAGTTTGAACATGTGTTGAACCTGTTAATGTAACAGCCCACTGTCCACTGGAGGGCGCTATCCAACCATACTGGCTCTACCTGTACTCTGATTTAATACAATCTATAAAACTTACCTGGTAAATGTCAATGAAAAATATTTCTAATCAATACAACAAACAAACACTAATGTTCAATTGTGAGTTCAATTATCTTCATTTAGGGACTTTTACACAAGTAAACAAGTAAATATTGATATATGTGAATAAATCAGCAGATATATTTCTATATATTCTTTAATATTAACTGCAGTGTGTCAGTGTGTGTTTACATTCCAGTGTGACATCACACACACACACACACACACACACACACACACACACACACACACACTGACACACAATAAATAACAGTTTTTTTTGGACCGATATCTCTCTTGAACACAGTGTTTAGTTACGACTGATTATGGGACATTTTTTCAGATGTGAATCACAAACACTTGCACTGCTTGGACTCTTTCAGAAGCTGAGCCTGTGAGCAGCCGTAGCAGCAATCACATTTTCTTCATCGTTGTTGTTGTTGTGTCAGCGGATAATATCTGACCTTTAGGGGTAAGAGTCTGCGTGTCGAGGTAGAAGACTCCTCTCAGGAGAGCCACTTCCTGTAGGATGATACCGAAGCTGTACACGTCTCCTTTCTGAGTCCCACATGGGGGGGGGCACTCTGTCCTCAGCAGCTCGGGGGCCATCCACAGCTTACCTGCAAGAGACGCGTCTTTCTCTTCAAAAGACATTTTTATTCTTAACATACGGCTCAACTTACCCCGCTCCTATGCTCAATTTACCCCACACACGGGGTAAGTTGAGCCACGAGACCACTTTTTTTGGACATGCTATATTATGGAAACAGTTATGTTTACACTCATTCTGTTTGTTTGAAGGGATGCACAACATCCTGAAATATATGCAGATATATTAGTTAGCGACAAAACTATGATTGCCTTGATGTAGTGATCCTAAATATGAAAAATGGCTCATCTTACCCCACTCTCCCCTACATATCCATCGATCAGCACTAACACAGTGAGCACTGTGTATCAGGGCTTTTTTTTTTTCACAATGTGATGGACCACTGGGTCAACTCCAAACCTGCAGCTCTTGTGTGGTGTTCCCGGTCTGCAGAGGTCAGTATCTATCAAAAGTGATCCAAGCAAGGAATAGAACCAGAGACAGGGTCATGGGGGGCCGAGGCTCATTGATGCAGGTGGGGAGTGAAGGCTGGCCCGTGTGGTCTGATCCAACAGATGAGCTACTGTAGCTCAAACTGCTGAAACAGTGAATGCTGGTTCTGATAGAAAGGGTTCAGAACACACAGTGCAGAGCAGTCTATTGGTCTGGGACCAGTCAGGGAGTCCCATGCTCACAGTGTTACTGCTGATCAGTTGATATATGTATATGTTTATCATACGTGCGTAGTAGGCGTGAGTGTCCTCAGGGCAGCTGCTGGTCCGCAGACTCTGCAGACCATAGTCGGTGATCTTCAGGACAAAGCGACTGTCCACCACACAGTTGGATGACTTTAGGTTGCCATGGGAGACGATGACGCTGTTGTGGAGGAACAACATGCCCTGGGACAAAAACAACAACGACAATAAACACTGAACAAACTTTATTGATTGACGTCCCTCCAGGAAGTGACAGATGGTCTGTCCCTGGGTTCCTTTTATTAGTGCACTTACAGCTTGTTTTCATCCATTGATTAGAGTCTATTTATACACTAAAGGAATAAATAGAAAGCATGACCTACAGAAACTCAAAGTGGTTGAACTGTGTTTTTATAAAACGTCTGAACTTAAATATCAGTTAAAGGCCAGATTATTATTAATATTATTGATGTTATTTCAGTTCAGTGGTCATGCTCCCATGAATAATTGTAAATCTTTCACTGTGTGAAAAACAAGTGCTTTTTATCTGATGATACAGCATCGACAGGCCGCTACCTTGACGATGTCAGTAATGAGAGAGTATCTGAACATCCAGTCCAGTGTGATGCTGTCGCTCTCCATCAGGTCCTGGAAGGTACACACACAGAGGTTTAATGAGTAATGCAATATATTTACATGAATGTATCAGGAGATAAAACACTGGAGAAGTAAATTAAATGTTAGTCTTATGAGGGGTGTTTGATTTTAACATCAGCTGCTCTCTGGTCAGTGGTTTCAATCCTTATGTGGGTCATTTTTCACCTCCTCAGTAATAATTACTCCAGAGTTAAAATGAGTCCTGAACAATGATTTAAATGACGGAGCACAGTGCAGATTTGAACAGCCTTTGTTTGAATATCTGCGATCAGTGACATGACAGTGGTGAGAAAGTCTTCCTCCTCTCAGTGCACAAAATAACTCAGCTGCTCTTTGTTAAACTGACATTTTGAGATCCAGCGGTCATCTGGCAAACAACCCAAACCCCACGCAACCCACATATACCTACAGCCGGCTGACTTGTGTTCTCATGTTGCTAGGTTACTGTGCCAGGAGGTTGCTAGGTTACAGTGCTGACAAGTAAGTATAACTGAGAGCCGGGGAGAACATCTGCTGTATGAAGAAATGTTAGAGGACTAGAAAGATACATGGAAATGATGAATAGCACCACAGGTACAGTGGAGAACCAGAGGGGTTAAGGGAAGGGTATAGAAAGTTGGTGGTAGAGAGAAGATCGAAAGTGAGGTAAAAAATGTTGAAAGAGTGGCATTAAGGGTTGATAGAGGGGTACGTACAGTTTATAGAGGGGTATACAGGGGTAGAAACAGTTGATAGAGGGGTACGGACAGTTGATAGAGGGGTATACAGGGGTACAGACAGTTAATAGAGGGATATACAGGGGTACGGGCAGTTAATAGAGCGGTATACAGGGGTAGAAACAGTTGATAGAGGGGTACAGACAGTTGATAGAGGGGTATAGAAACTGGTTAAGAGGGGTAAACGGGTACAGACAGTTAATAGGGGGTATACAGGGGTACAGACAGCTGATAGAGGGGCACAGACAGTTGATAGAGGGGTAAACAGGGGTACAGACAGTTGATAGAGGGGTATAGAGACTGGTTAAGAGGGGTATATAGGGGTACAGACAGTTGATAGAGGGGTACAGACAGTTGATACAGGGGTACAGACAGTTGATAGGGGGATATACAGGGGTACAGGCAGTTGATAGTGGGGTATAGACAGTTGATAGAGGGGTATAGAGACTGGTGATAGAGGGTTATAGACAGTTGATAGAGGGGTATAGAGACTGGTGATAGAGGGTTATAGACAGTTGATAGAGGGGTATAGACAGTTGATAGAGGGTTATAGACAGTTGATAGAGGGGTATAGACAGTTGATAGAGGGGTATAGAGACTGGTGATAGAGGGTTATAGACAATTGATAGAGGGGTATAGACAGTTGATAGAGGGGTATAGAGACTGGTGATAGAGGGTTATAGACAGTTGATAGAGGGGTATAGAGACTGGTGATAGAGGGTTATAGACAGTTGATATAGGGGTACAGACAGTTGATAGAGGAGTACAGAGAGTTGATAGAGGGGTATAGACAGTTGATAGAGGGGTATAGAGACTGGTGATAGAGGGTTATAGAATGGGATAGGGGGGTAAGACTGTGATAGAGGGTATAGACAGTTGATAGAGGGGTATAGAGACTGGTGATAGAGGGGTATAGACAGTTGATAGAGGGGTATAGACAGTTGATAGAGGGGTATAGAGACTGGTGATAGAGGGGTATAGACAGTTGATAGAGGGGTATAGACAGTTGATAGAGGGGTTTAGAAACTGGTGGGGTAAAAGGTTGGGTGTACCTGCAGGCTGCCTCTGGGACAGTACTCTGTGATGACGCACATGTTCGGCGGGTCGATGCAGCTCCCGATGAAGCGAGTCAGGTGTTCATTCTGAACATCTCGCATCTGCAAGAGTACAGAGGCTGCTGGTTCAAATCCCACCAAAACATCACCATCCCAAAAGCAAGGCACTGAACTCAAATAGACACTCTGTGAAGTAGGTAGGTCAGGACTTACATGTTTTAGTTCAAACAGCACGTTCCTGGTCAGTTCGATACGTTTCTTGTTGATATACTTGATGGCTGCCAGGTTTCCCTGCAGGAGAAAAAATCAGCAAGATTAGCATCTTACTCATTACACCCGCATTTTATTGTTCATTGCAGCAATGTTAGCAGTCTATTAGCAGTCCGTTAGCAGTCTGTTAGCAGTCAGGTAGCAGTCCGTTAGCAGTCTGTTAGCAGTCAGTTAGCAGTCAGTTAGCAGTTTGTTAGCAGTTGTAGCAGTCAGGTAGCAGTCAGGTAGCAGTCAGGTAGCAATCAGGTAGCAGTCAGGTAGCAGTCCATTAGCAGTCAGACCTTGTAATATCCAGTTTTGGTGTAGATCTGGAAGTTTCCCTCCATGGTCATCAGAGAGCCGCAGTGAGATCCTTTCTGCAGAGAATCCTGGTGTTAGTCCAGTTAGTGTGTGTGTGTGTGTGTGTGTGTGTGTGTGTGTGTGTGTGTGTGTCTGTGTGTTACCAGAGACATGGTAAGTCTGCTGCAGGTTCTCCTGAGGACTTTCTCCAGGTTGCTTATCTGGACGTCGTCCCAGGAAACCCTCCACAGCTGAGCTGCCAGCTCGCTCTCCAGCTTCAACTTCCTGTTCAACAGATAGGAAGACAGGTGTGTGTGTGTGTGTGTGTGTGTGTGTGTGTGGAAAGGATAAACAAGAAATAGATAAGAGAGGCGCTGCTCCAAAATCAACATAGAGGAAACACTGACATATATTAAGAACAAATGTATAAATATATAACTATATATAATATATATATTTTTTATCTTTTATATATATATAAAAGATCATGTAAAAGGAATGTCTGACTCTCTGAGGGAGTTTGATGACCACAGGCAGGAATGATTTCCTGTGGCGCTCTGTAGTGCATCTGGGTGAGAGGAGTCTTCTGCTGAAGGTGCTCCTCTGCTGGGCCAGTGTGTCATAGAGAGGGTGTGGGACATTGTCCAAGATGGACTGAAGCCTGGACGGCATCCTCCTCTCTGCCACGGTCGTCAGAGTGTCCAGCTCCTCCCCTACGACATCACCGGCCGTGCTGATCAGTTTGTTTAGTCTGTTGTTGTCTGCGACCTTCAGCCCACTGCCCCAGCATGTGACAGCGAAGAAGATCGCACTGGCCACAACAGACTCATAGAACATTCTCAGCATCATCCGGCAGATGTTAAAGGACCTCAGCCTCCTTAGGAAAAAGAGTCGGCTTTGGCCCTTTTTGTAGATAGCCTCAGTGTTTCTAGTCCAGTCCAGCTTATTATTAAAGTACACCCTCAGGTACTTATATTCCTCAACAGTGTCCACAGGGACCCCCTGGATGGAAACAAGGGTCACAGGTGTTTTCGTCCTCCTCAGATCCACTATGAGCTCCTTTGTCTTTGTCACATTGAGCTGCAGATGATTCAGCTCACTCCAAGTGACAAAGTTGCCCACCACAGTCCTGTATTTACTCTCATCACCCTTTTCAATACAGCTAACTATTGCTGAGTCATCAGAAAACTTCTTAAGGTGGCAGGACTCGGTGCAATTGTTGAAGTCTGAGGTGAAGAGGGTGAAGAGGAAGGGAGAGAGGACAGTCCCCGGTGGGGCCCCAGTGTTGCTGACCACCCTGTTAGATACACAGTTCTGTAGACGTATGTACTGTGGTCTGCCCATCAGGTAATCAACAAACCAGGACACGATGGGGGCCTCCACCTGCATCGCAGCCATCTTCTCACCCAGTAGAGCCGGACGGATGGTGTTGAAAGCACTGGAGAAGTCAAAGAACATGACTCTCACAATGCTCGCCGGCTTGTCCAGATGAGTGTAGACTTTGAACAGCAGGTAGATGATCAGAATGCTGTTCATCGACTTCAGCTCAGCATTCAACACAATCATCCCCCAGCAGCTCATCAACAAACTGGACCAGCTGGGGCTCAACACCTCCCTGTGCAACTGGCTGTTGTTGACTTCCTGGCGGGGAGACCACAGGCAGTTCAGGTCGGCAGCAACACCTCCAGCACCATCACACTGAACACAGGGGCCCCCCAAGGATGTGTGCTGAGCCCCCTCCTCTTCACTCTGCTGACCCACGACTGCACACCATCATTCAGCTCCAACTTCTTCATAAAGTTTGCAGACGACACAACTGTGATGGGTCCCATCAACAACGGCGATGAGACAAACTACAGAAGTGAGGTGAGCAGGCTGGCCACGTGGTGCAAGGACAACAATCTCCACCTGAATGTGGAGAAGATGAAGGAGATTATTGTGGACTTCAGGAGAGTGCACACCCAGCAAGCTCCACTAACCATCTACGGTGCTGCAGTGGAAAGGGTGAGCAGCACCAAGTTCCTGGGTGTGCACATCTCTGAAGACCTGTCCTGAAGCCACAACACTGCATCACTGGCCAAAAAAGCCCAACAGCGCCTGTACTTTCTCTGCAAACTGAGAAGAGCAGGAGCCCCGCCCCCCATCATGCACACCTTCTACAGAGGCACCATCGAGAGCATCCTGACAAGCTGCATCACCGTGTGGTATGGCGCCTGCACCGTGTCCTGCCACAAGACACTGCAGCGCATCGTGAGAGCAGCTGAGAGGATCATTGGTGTCTCTCTCCCCCCTCTTCTGGACATTTATAACACCCGCATCAGCAAAGCCATTAGGATTGTAGGTGACCCCACCCACCCATCTCACAGCCTCTTCAGCCTGTTGCCATCAGGGAGGAGACTGCGGAGTCTCCGGGCAAAAACCAGCAGGCTCAAAGACAGTTTCTTCCACCAGGCAGTTAGGAGACTCTAGTCCCTCCCTACTCTACCGTCACTCTCGCCTCTGCCCACCCTTTATTTTTTATTGCCTGTTTGCACCATGGGTCCGAGAGGACTGAAATTTCATCTGTGCTGTATGTTGTGCATATAGCATATTTGACAATAAAGCTGACTTGACTTGACTTGACTTGATGATGCCGTCCTCCACTCACAGGCATGGCTGGTAGGCGAACTGTAGTGGATCAGTGAAGGGCCTGACCACAGGCCTTAGCTGCTCCAGGACGAGCCTCTCCAGGGTCTTCATAATGTGGGATGTCAGAGCCACCGGTCTGTAGTCCTGAGGGCCGCTGGGACGCGGCGTCTTTAGCACAGGAATGAGGCAGGACGTCTTCCACAGCACAGGGACCCTCTGGAGGTGCAGGCTCAGGCTGAAGACATGACTGAGTACTCCACACAGCTGGGGGGCACAGGCTTTAAGCACCCTGGGAAATACACCGTCGGGGCCTGCAGCTTTGCCGGAGTGGAGCCTCGTCAGTTGTCTTCTCACCAGGTCAGGCGTGAAGGACACTATAGAGGTGACAGTTTGGGGAGGGGTGAGGTCCTCAGGTTGTGGAGGACATGATGCAGAGCAGGGGGGAGGGGTGGAGTAGTTCTTCTGAACTCAACATCCCACTGAAGGGTATCTTGTCCACCACTGCTCATACCGTGACCATGTGTGTCTCTCCTCACCGCCCTCGTAGTGAGGTCTTGGTCTGCTATCAAGCCCAGCTGATGTCCAGATTACAATGATTGAGCCTGGACAACCACACTCCTCTCTACTTCCTCCCAGCCCTCAACTCAGTGCCAGTGTTTGAGAAAAGTGTGATGATCTCAGCCTTCTCAATGGTTCTTGCTTCTTTAGAATCTCTTTGCAAATCTCCACAGCTCGCCTACCTCCTCCTCCTCCTCCAGACCATCAGGAACCTCAAAGGTCCTTGCGAGAGCCTGGGGTATTTCTTGGAGACCATGTAAGGCACTACACTGATGACTTTCTGGATCTCCTTCAAGATGATCCCTTCTCTTTCTGGCTGTTACCTTTCTCATAGTGAAGAGACCTTTGATACTAAAAGATCCTGAGTAAGTTATTATAAGTAACAATAACTATCTTAGGTTTTCTGATGCCGAGAGCACCTGCAAGTCCTAACCACGGGAACCTTCCCCATGTTCATATGACCATAAGAAACTTAACATGAACACACCCAGCTAACTGATCAAAACATCATCAGTACTTTGCTCCACTAACTCTAGATGAGAACCATAGTCTGTCAAAGACTTTCTACTCGTCACCAACGATTTACTGCAGTGCCTGAAATGAGCCAGTACTCACCAGTACTTCTGAGTACTTCTGATTGCGTACCTGGTGAGCATGTTGAGCTGTTAGGGTCACCAGTGTTTTTCCAAGGTTTATGCAATAAACAATAAATTATTATCTAAAAATAACTACTTCAAGGCTGTGATGTGATCTGTATTTGTAAAACCTTGCATACAGCAGTGCTGGAGAGGGTACGGGCATCTCTTTATAATTTAGGAATTACACTGCTGTGTCACTACATTAGATTTTAGCATATATATATATATATATGATGATTTATTAATTTTCACATTAAACCAGTTGTATCTACACCTCAAGGATAATGTCTTTCCTGTAATCTAGTGTTTAAACAGACAGAATATGTTTGTGCGTCACCAAAACTATAAAAGCAGTAGTTTATATGCACATGCAGAAGAGTTTATGAATGTGCAAAACGTTTTATTGTCTCATCTCGAGAGGAAGTTAAATGGTGATCATCAGAACTTACAGAGAATATACAGAGAATTCATTCGATAACATACAAAGTCAACGTAAAGACGCACATATACTGGTTAACCTTTGAGTCAAAACTTCACGTAACTACCGTTTATGCATTTTGGCTTCTGTTATTTCCTTTAATATACATTTATTCCTTGTAAATTCTGACTTTATTTACAGGCCCTAGTGGGCCCCCACTACACCTCTGCTCTCTCACAGTCACACAGCTAGCTAACTAGCTAGCTAACCTATGTAATGGTAAATGGCATCAAAACAGGAAGAAAGTGGTGAAGTAGTAGTAGAAGTCCTGACGGCTGCTGGCTCGTCTTTTAAATCACTTTTTTTATTTATTCTAGCAGAGTATGATTGTATTTTATTATAATATATATATATATATATATATATAGAGAGAGAGAGAGAGAGAGACAGACAGACAGACAGACAGACAGATAGAGAGAGAGAGACAAACAGACAGACAGGCAGAGACAGACAGAGAGAGAGTGTTCCAGAATGTATATGTATACAGAAGTCATGTTTAAGGCTTGCTGCTAAACAAAACACTTGTTTTCGGTCCAAAAATTGGATAAACACCGACGTTTTATGAGGAAAATGCAAAAGGAGTGACCACAATACACCAGAAGAGAGAAAAAGTAAAAAATAAGGAGAATGAAACAGAAAGAAGGAAAAAAGATACAGCTGGAAGCAGTGTTAATTTTGACAGCAAATTCTGATTTAGTCTTAGTCTTAGTCTTTTGAATAACACACCATTTAGTCATATTTTAGTCATCTGAAATCTTTTAGTCTTAGTCTAGTTTTAGTAGACCAAATATTAGCAGAATTTAGTCGACTAAATCACAGTGGTTTATCTGATAAAATAACCTTAGTGTGTATGCTAACCTTTGCATGTATTTCTGGATGAGTCATCTGTAAATGTCACTTCAAGTTGGTGGTGTTTTTCCCAGCGATTTTTGCTCCACACGGTTTACAGACGGTCTTGTTGTCCTTGTTGTCATATGTGAAGT